AAAAAAAAAAAAGTACTTCTTGGGACTTGCCTGGCGGTCCAGTGGTTAAGATTTCACCTTCCAACGCAGGGGGTGTGGGTTCGATCCCTGGTCGGGGAGCTAAGATCACACATGGCTCGTGGCCAAAACAACCAAAAACATAAAACAGAAGCAATATTGTAACAAATTCACTAAAGGCTTGAAAAAAAAAATGGTCCACATCAAAAAAACAAATCTAAAAGAAAAAAGATGTACTTCTTTTGGATGTAACATTACAACAATTGCCGACATTTGATTAACTTTGAGTCACGGTATTTTTTAACTTGGTGGAGACTTTCAGGAACAATCTATCCAGTTGTCTTCTTTTAAAAATCAGCATGTTGGTCACTGGTCATTGGTCAATCTCATTGATGCATTCAGTCAGTAACTAGCTATTGAGCACTCATGTGCCATGCTTGTGCAGGCTTGTTGATTTTCTCACTTGACACTGAAATCGCAGTAAGATGGAAAGTCCTGAGCCAGAAGCACGGTCGCTCCATCTTGGGCCCATCCTCAGCACCTTCTTACTCTCCTACTGCCCCTCCTCTGACTTGTGTTACCTTATTGTACATTTTCCTTCCTCCATGAAATTGAAAATAGAGCCCAGCTTGGACTCATCCGTGCCTCTTCATGGTGCCATGTACATGGGGGAAGCTCAAAAAACATCTGTTGAATGAATGAACAAAATAGTTAATTCTTTCTGATTTTTTCAGCATTGCCTCCTTTGCATTCATTTCCTAGAGTGAAAAGCTACCCAGGGCAGTGCTTGTAAACCACATATGCAGAGAAATGCACCCAGTGAATCTACTTTGTATCAGAGACTCTAAGGTTGAGCATGTGGGTGAGGAGGGCCATGAGCTGCCACCACTGCATGGCCTTGGGCAGGAGCCAGAGGGGGTCTATGAGCCATGAAAGAGGTGTGGGGATCAGCCAAGCTGTATTGAGACTTGGCTTTGAGTGGACGTGACTTCTGCATGGGGTGTTACTGGATGCTTCTGTATTGTTTAAAGCTATACTTCTTTTTTGAGGGCACATTATGTAAGATGGCAGTAAGACTAGACACCTTTCCTTACTGCTCTAAGGGCTCAGGTTACCTAGGGGAATGTGGCCCTGTTTGCATGTTAGTCAGTCTGATAAGCAGAGGGACATTGTGCAGAGCTCTCTGGGAGATGCACTTTGTGGGGTGCTGTGGCCACAGGGACCCAAGGAGTCCAAGCTGAGTCCCTGAGGAAGAGTGAGGGTGATTGCAGCTTCCCAGCTCAGCCAAGGTGGGAAGGGTGTCCAGGGCAGGGAGACAGAGGGGACCAAGGAGATTCTGTAGCTCTGAGGTGCTCAGTCTTTGTAGAGTCTTCTGGTCAACCATGTTTGTTGAGTGCCCCATGGGCCAAGCACTGACTGGGAACTAGGGCTGCAGGGTGATCACAACATCTACCGTCCTGGCTCTCATGGGATGTTCAGAAAGTCCAGAGAGGGAAGACAGAGAAATATTTTAAACTTACACCAGTAGTCATAATTGTAGTGAGTGCTGTGAAAGACAAACACTAGTTTCCCTGTTGAGGATGTGATGGGATGCTCTAACCCAGCTGGGAGCGTTGGGGAGGCTCCCTTGATGGAGGAACAAGCAGTGTGTTTGGGCTGTGGAGGTGGAAAGTTGTGGCCAAAGGCTGGAGAAGCAGGTAAGGCCTGGGAGGAGGGGTCTATCTGCAGTTCTCAAGGGTCGGGGCTGCTTCTCAAAGACCCCCTGGGCCTCTCCTTAACTCTGTTTAACAACAACCCTTTGAGTTTTTAGACTGACTCCATTGAGGACAGGGACCCTGTGTGATGGTGTCTGTCTCCAAGTCTATGCCTGGCAACTGGAGGGTCTTAATACATGATTTTTGAGAGGATGAATCATGGAATAAATGAAGGAAGGTAGAAAAGATGCACAAAACCCTTGACTCCTACATGTTGACAGGAAGAGGGGTAAAGACATTACTTGCTTTCAGATCCTTGTGTTTGGGTTCAGAAAGCAGACATTCTAAGGCTTCATTCTTTTCTGTCATGCATAACGATGTTATTCTGTTGCACAGATGGGACAACATCATCACCTACTCTTTTCCAGGTGTTGTTTAAGGAAGTCCATAAAATTTGAAAAGCAGACCTAACATTTTTGTTTGGAATAACCCTCAAAGATAAGCAGAAATGTATGGAAAAGAAAGCATGGAAAAGAAAAAGCAAAAACTTAAAAAATCCATCAGTTACATATATTTGAAATCTTAAATGAGTCTTCTAGGGTGATATCCCTAAACTAGAATGTTGTTTAGATTGGATTTTCCTTAAATGCAGGTGTTCATCAGGGACAGTGGTACAGCCAGCTCAGACTGGATTTCTCCGTCCATGTTGCGCCTTGTGTTTGGGGGGAGATGAGACAGACCTTAGGCGCAGTGAAGGGGCACCAGTAACGGGAACTCTCTCCCTTTCAAGGCAGTGATGGCCAGCGACTTTGCGGTGCCCAAATTCCGATACCTCGAGAGGCTCTTGATCGTTCATGGACACTGGTGCTATTCCCGACTTGCCAACATGGTGCTGTACTTCTTCTACAAAAACACAGTACGTATTTGGTGCCGGTGTCGAGGATTTTTGATGTGAAAGGCCTGAGATTCACAGGACCATCACCTGAACGTGGCTGGAGGGCTACCCCACAGCCTCCCATTGGTCCCACCCTTCTTGACCTTTGTGGATTTTCCCCAGGCCTGGCCTGGCCTGGCGTTGTACCCTGCAGGCTCAGAAGTCTTAACTCACCTGCACCTCTGAGGATGGAAACAGGTAGATCCAAGGAGAACATCCACTTGGAGCTTTATAATAAGAAGTAGAATGACCACGAGGTCCAGGGGTTTGCATGAGATCATCAGCCAGTGAGTGGCTGAGGCTGCATTCAGCCCCCGTCCATCTGACTCCAGCTTCCAAGCCCTTGACCACTCTGTCCCTTGGTCTCTCGGGAGTGGTCTGCCGAGGTGCCCACAGACAGGAGTGCTCTGATTGGTGCTCTCTCCAGAGCAGGCAGGGGATCAGAAGATAAGCAGGAGTGTGATTGGCAGTCCTGGGTCAGCATGCGAGGACTCAGCCAGGCTTTGATCCTGATACTGAGCAGTCTTCGAGAAGCCTTTCCTTGTTCCCCTGGCTGACATGAATATACATACTCCTATGGCTGCATTGTTGCTTCTGTATTTGTCAGCCATAGGCACCGTCACTTTTTACCATAGTTTTCTATTCAGGGTACTTCCACACTAGACATTGATGCTCTACTACAACTTACTACACTCTACTACAACATGTAGTCCACTGCACCATCTCAATAAATATGCAAATAAAATAATTTCACTTGTAAATCCAGGATTAACATGGACTGTCCAGGGACTTCCCTGGTGGTGCAGTGGTTAAGAATCCACCTGCCAGTGCAAAGGACACGGGTTTGAGCCCTGGTCCGGGAAGATCCCACATGCTGCGGAGCAACTAAGCCCGTGAGCCACCGCTACTGAGCCTGTGCTCTGGAGCCTGCGAGCCACAACTACTGAGCCCGCATGCCACAACTACTGGAGCCCGCGTGCCACAACTACTGAAGCCCCCACGCCTAGATCCCATGTTCTGTAACGAGAAACCACCGCAATGAGAAGTCTGTGCACTGCAACAAAGAGTAGCCGCTGCTTACCGCAACTCGAGAAAGCCCACACGCAGCAACAAAGACCCAATGCAGCCCCAAAATTAATTATTTTAAAAAAGAAAAGATTATTCAGAACCAGTGAATGAAGTATGTGAAGTGATAAAAATTTGATTGTGACCTAGACTGATTTCATAGAAAATTGTTTATTCAGATACAGATGGGCTTTGATATAGCAATTATGGCATTGAAGGTTTGGGGTCCAGATTTAATAAAGTAGAAACAATCGGAAAAAAATGCGCCCACCCTGGGCCAGTGGGAAGGGGATGCCAGCTCAGTCTGTAGTTGACCCTTCAGTTAGGGCATTCCCAGACCTGGCTGGCTCAGGACAGTTCTGTCTCTCCAGGGACTCTGATCCAGGGCCCTGGTCCATTCCCTGTTGACCCTAACATTTAAATCTTAGTTCTTTCACTACTGTGTCCTTGGCAGACAGCTGTATGGCAGCCATAGTCCTCCAGGCTGGACCACATGGCCATTTCAGGACCTACCCTACTTGTAAGTGAGGTATAGACGTTCTGCTGAGAAGTTGCTGGATTGCTACTTGTCCGTCTTGCCTCTGATAGCTTGTGGTTGAATGTACAAACAAGGAGACAAAGTAAATAAACTCTTAGGGTAACTGACTCTGCAGAGTAGTCCCATAAACCTACCCTGCTGAAATTCACAGCTCCATAGTCGAAATCATCTTGTAGTCTTCTGAAACAAAATCAAATAAATTAAAAGGTTTATTTGTTTATTTCTAATTCCATTTTAAATCTCGATGTTCACTCTGAGCTACCATCAGGACAGCTCTTGTGCATGTTCTTATAGTTTGTTCCAGAGGCTTAGACCCACCTTTCTTTTCCCATCTCCCACCTCCTCACTCTCACCCATTTTTTTTTAAATGTCTTCTAGCAAATTAATACAGATATTCAGGACCAATCATGGCATGTCTAATTTTATAAGTTGGGTCTTGGAAATAAACTGAGATTGGGTCTGCCCAATCCACACGAGGATGTGCCATGCTGTCCCTGTCCTTGTCAGATCACTCCCCTTCTTTCTGACTGCCTGGAATTGCTTCCCTAGCACCCCCCCCTCCCCACTAAGCACACAGTTGCAAACCTGGAGGGTCCCAGCTCCCAAGAGGGTAGGAGGGTGCTTTGAGTAAAAGTGAGCAGGGCTGGGCAGGGTGGAATCCTAGCCCCGTTTCTTTAATTCATTAGCTGTGCAATCTGGAGCGAGTTATTTGCCTTCTGTGGATTTTGTTTTCTTTATCTGAAAACAAAACAAAATGGAACACGTGAATTGAACTCTGCTCTCTATAATTCCTAATGAAAATTTCTCAGATTGAGGGGATGGCATTCAATATTTCAGTTGCAGACGAGGCCCAGAGTGGCCGCCTGCAATGATCACTGGCTCCTGCCTGCCACGGTGAATCTGTCCTCACGGAGGGGACAAGGAAAGAGAAGGGGTCCCTGTTTTTATTCTGTATAAGGTGCAAGGCCTCTGTTAACAAGTATTTAATCTACTTGAGAAATTCGAGGATAATCACTCTGCCTCCCAAAGTAAGAAATTCATTAGTTTTAGGAATAAGTTGGCCTTCCTTCCAGTAAGGAGCAGAGAAGAAAACTTTCCATAGCAACAGTGGTTTGGGGAGAAGGCTTTTGGGTACTGCAGTAAAAAAAAAAAAAGTCTCAGGTATCTAAGTACTTTTCCTCCTCTTTGTCTGACTCCACTTGCTCACTGATGACTCATTAGGCTGTGCCTGAGGAGGTGGGAGAAAGAAAAGCAGGTGTGGGTGTGAAAAAGGGAAGAAAGTCAATGAAAAAGCCAAGTTTGTCAGTTTTCAGGGTGGAGGGGAAAAGTTGCATTAAGTCATAGATTGAAACAAGTCCTGGAGGATCTGTGTCATTAAAGGTGATATCAGTGTAGACTATCATTTTTTCTGATCTTTGGAACAAGCCATTCTCAGGTCAAGAAACCCGAGCTCAGAGAGGTTAAGTGACTGTGTCTAGGTCAGAAATGTGCACAACGGCAGCTCCAGAACCCACACCCAGGCCGTTGTATGCTGTGCACAGCAGAGAATGTTCTTCCACCATGGCTCCTCCAGGCCACAAGTGGTTGAACAAGTTGGGTTTGTTACTCATACAATGACCATAGTCCAGTTGTTTGACATCTTGGACCCCAGTTTACTTTCCTCTAAATGGGGTGAGCACACTGGCCCTGCTTGAGCCTCAAACAAAGGAAATAGCCGTCCTGCTGACAGTAACAACCACAAACCACTGATGAGCATCTCAGCGTGCAGGAAGCTCTTGTGAGTACTTGAAGGTGCATTAGTCATTAATCTTCACCACAACCCCCCAGCTAAGTACCATTGGTGTGCCTATTTCACGGACAAGGTCACTGAGGCAGAGAGGGGCTAAATGGTCTGTGCCAGGTTGCACAGCTAATAAGTGTAGGAATGCTTTGCAGTTGCTAACCTTCCATGCGCCCCATAAAACATCAGGCCATGGATGTTCAGTGATCAAGTAATAGTGGCAAGAGGTCCACCCAGCTCCTACTGCGCATGGGAGGAGGCTCTTCCACCTCTCTGGACCTCACTTTCCTGTTTAGCGTAGCTGTAGGGACCAGCGATAATACCTGTAGCTCACCCACCAACAGAGTGCCCGGCAGATGCCAGGGCTCAGTCAAGGCAGTGATGTTGGTGTCACCATCAACTTTACCGCCATGCTTGTGTGTGTCCTCCCTTCCATGCGAGTCAATAATTGCACACTGTTCCTCATTAAAAGAGGGAGGCAGGATCCAGGGTGTAGCCCAGGTAGGTTTGGTTTAGTGCCACAGAGAGGAGCACAAGGAAAGAAGCCTCATGATGGGTGAGGTATCCAGCCAGCCCTCTTGAGATGGGAGCCACCCTAGACCCTGCCAGACCTTTGTTTTGCTTCCTCTTATGATCTGTGGCATTTGGGCCCAAGACTCCATCCCTCCAAGGGCTGTTGGTGGGAATTCCCAGCTCCCAATGCTGGTCTCTGATGCTCGAGGGATTGAGGAGGGAGGAGAAGGGGGAGGGAGAGACAGAGGGCACCAAAGTGAGGGCTGTCTTTGGAGACAATTCCTGCCTATAAATTCAGTCTTTACAGTCAGACTCTGCAAAGCCCTCAGCTCCCTTGGACAAGATTCTGCAGGGCAGCTGAGAATTGCTTGTTCCCACTCTTCCCTTGATCGCAGATGTTCGTGGGCCTCCTGTTTTGGTTCCAGTTTTACTGTGGCTTCTCTGCGTCCGCCATGATTGACCAGTGGTATCTGATCTTCTTTAATCTGCTCTTCTCATCGCTTCCCCAGCTTGTGACTGGGGTGCTGGACAAGGACGTGCCGGCTGACGTGCTGCTGACCAAGCCGCAGCTCTACAAGAGCGGCCAGAACATGGAGGTGAAGCCCCTCTTCCCCCCACCCCATCTCCTGGCCCTCCACGCTCCACATCCAGCTCCTGGAAAGTTCAGGTCCCCACACCTGCCTTTAAATGGACACCCTGGGCAGACAGAGAAAAACAAATATCATATGATATCACTCACGTGGAGTCCAATTTTTAAAAATGATATAAATGCACTTATTTACAAAACAGAAACAGACTCTCAGATTTCAAAGACAAACTTATAGTTACCAAAGAGGAAACATTGGTGGGGAGGGATAAATTAGGAGCTTGGGATTAACATACACACACTACCATATATAAAATAGAGGACCAACAAGGACCTACTGTATAGCACAGGGAACTCTACTCAATATTCTGTAATAACCTATATGGGTAAAGAATCTGAAAAAGAATATATATACGTATAAATAAATCACTTTGCTGTACCCCTGAAACGAACACAGCATCATACATCAACTGTACTCCAATAAAATTTAAAAAATAAAATCTTCCAAGAAAAAAAATGGACACTGTGGAACAAACAGTTAAAGTTCTAGAATCTGACCAGTGGGAGGAAAACAAAGAATTCTGTCTCTTGACTGCAATGCATTTATTTAAGTAGAGTTGATTGGTTGTGTTGATGGTATCAGGGGTGTATGTATGTGCCCAAACCCATCGAAATGTGTACATTAAAAGTGTGTGGTTTCTGTATATCAATTTACCTAAAGCTTTTTGAAAAAAAAAAAAAGGAAGAGTTTTTAAAAAGTATACTGAGGTGAAAACTGTCTTTACACCAGGAGTCTCCAGGAGCCCAAGTAAAGCCCGTTTGGAATCTAAGTCACATGGGATGACTACAGGCAGAGCAGAGATTTTTCTAAAGCACCCCCAAAGAAATGTGATTTCCTTTGAATGGGGATTAATGGGAAAATAAACCCTTAGGGAAACCCTGGGAAGAACAAGTGAACACAAACAGATGATGTAAAATACATGTTTACGTCAATACATCACATAGATTGACATGCTAATTACCAGCTGTTCCTAGTTGGCCATTAAAGAAAGCCCTGTGAGTGCTTCTCTTGGGCTGGTTGGAATTATTATACGAGTGCCCAGGGAATGGATCCCCGCATATCCCACAATGGTCTCTCATTCGGAACTAATTTATTGAAGAGTTGACTTCCCCACAGGCAACCTGGGGTAGGTAGGGGCTGCTTAGGGTCAGGTAGATGACGAGGGCCTCCGCTTGTCACCTGTCACCTGGGGGAGCTCTTTCACTCAGCCAGGCCTCACGTCCTAGGTGGCCACAGGGAGTTTGTCCTGGGGACAAACCGGAAGGGCCTGGCTTTCCTAAGTGCTCAGTAAACGCTCATCCTGCCTGCTCTGCACGTCCTGCGTCCTGCGGGCCAGTGCTGGCACCAGCTGCTCAGAACTCAGCAGTGCCAAATACAGATTGGGGCTTCCAGATAAGGAAGACTTGATTAGTCCGTTTCAGTCATTTTTTGCCCATGGTAGACAGCTTTTTGATTTTAACATTAGGGAACACCCATGATCTAATTTTAAAATAACTCACTTTTAAGAAATATTCTAGCGGGTCCACCAATGGAGGGAAGCAAAGCCCTGACAAAGTAGACGGCTCAGGTTGGGGCAGATGCCAGAATTTCATGCACTAGTCCCTGTCTAGGGAAATTCCTTATGGGATTTAGAAAGCATTTTCATCTTTCTGCTGTTGACTGAGAATGCTGTAGCAGGCCTTGTGGGCACAAATGCTCGCAGTGACTTACTCAGCCCCATGTGCCCCTGCAGGCCTTTCTGTAGTGTTTTTTCACCAGCCCTCCACACTCCAGGATCTCCCTCTCCAAGGTCCTGAATTAGCAGGTGTCCCTGGGGTGCTTGACTTGTGCCTTCATGGCCCCCGTAGGTGATGGAAAACGATTTGAAGAGATGAGGCCTTTCCTGTAATCTCCGTGCTTGTTTTTGTGTCTCAGGAATATCGGCCTCGTACGTTCTGGTTGAACATGGCTGATGCTGCCTTCCAGAGCCTCGTGTGTTTTTTCATTCCCTACCTGGTAAGTTGTCACCCGGCCCAGCCTTTCCCACCAGCTTTATCTGGCGACACACAGACACAGGACCTCGCTGTCTTTCAGGCCTACCACGACTCAGACACAGACATGTTCACCTGGGGGACCCCCATCACCGCCATCGCGCTGTTCACCTTCCTCCTGCACCTGGGTATAGAAACCAAGACCTGGGTGAGAGTTGTGGGCCTGATCCAGAAGGGGGCTGGTCTGCGATCTGCTTACTTCCGTGCACATTCTGTGAGATTGAGCAGAGTTTTGAGTTGGGGGCTGGGGGTGACTGCAAAGCTGGCCTCACTGTGATGAGAACAAAAGCAGATGCACAGGCCGGCCATGCACATGCAAGCCCAGGGTGTGGGAGCAGCACTTGTCCCGGGCAGTGCTGGGCTCCTGCCTGCCTGAGCCCCTCCACCCCAGCTGTCCTTCCCCGTCCTTCCCTTGGCACCTGACTTCCATCTCCCGACTTGTGTTCAGGCCGGTCCATCAGTTCTCAAGGCTCCATGCCCCACCGATCACCCTGTTTCCACTACGCCCTCTTACATCCTCCACTTGCAGAGGACCAGTGCATTTTTGTTGAGATAAAAGCCCTATCTTTCTTTTTCCCCCTCAGACCTGGCTCAACTGGATGGCTTGTGGCTTCAGTATACTTTTATTTTTCACCGTGGCTTTGATTTATAATGCTTCCTGTGCAATGTGCTACCCTCCATCCAACCCCTATTGGACCATGCAGACATTAATGGGCGACCCTGTGTTTTACTTCATTTGTCTCATAGCACCCGTCGCCGCGCTGCTGCCCAGGTGGGTATCAGGGACAGTGGCCTTTGGGTCCCACATGGGCTCTGACAGCATTCTCCTTTGTTGTGTTCCTGTACCGTTCGAGTCTCAGAAGCTCAAAGGCCCCACTGCAGCAATAGCTGACTGTGTTCTATATGTTCTTTCCAGATTGTTTTTCAAAGCCCTGCAGAGGAGCCTTTTCCCCACCCAACTGCAGCTGGGACGCCAGTTGGTTAGAAGGTCCCCCAGGAAACTCAGGGCTCCCAAAGAGACCTTTGCTCAGGGACACCTCCCAGGAGAACCGAAGCCGGAACCGTCAGAACAGAGGAGCATCAGTGCCTCGGGGTCCTTCTCCCAGGACTGTAGCTCGCAGGTGTTTTGGCACGCACAGCAGTCGGCCTGCTCCCCAGAGGCCAGTGGGGAGCCCAGCGTGGTGGACGTGGGCGTGTCTCTGAGGGAGGACACCCTGCTGGACAGGCTGGGCAGCCAGACCCTGGGGTCCTCCTCACCAGGGGAGGTGATCCCGGAAGGCTGTCCAGGGGACTCCAAGATGAAACCCACAAGTGCCAGCAGGGCAGCTGCCCTGTCGTCCATCTTCAGCCTGCGCAGCCTCAGCTCACTCAACTGGATTTCCTCCCTCTCTCTGGTCAGCGGGCTGGGAAGTGTCCTGCAGTTCTCTCGAAGTGGTTTACAGATGGACAGGCGGGACGGCGAGTTCCTACCCAGCCCCCCACAGCCAGACCAGGACCTGCAAGGCTTGAGTGGGCAGACCACGGACTACTTCTAGGACCTCCTTCCAGGGACTACAGCTGGCGGTGGCAGTGGTGAAAACCTCAAAATGCTTTTTTTATAACATAGATGTTAATATTATTTATGTTTATTATTTGCACAGAAGAGTTCTAGTGAGATGTATTTTATATATTTCCAAGGCTAACACAGGAAATGAAAGGTACCAAAAAAGAAAGTTTATTTTTTAAAATTTCTAACTAGAGTATATTGAAAAGAAAAATAAGAGCTTTATCATATATAAAAGTTTAAGGAAGAGCGACACTTGAGAGGTGGGTTTAGATTTATTTTTTCATCTCATTTTATAAGAAAATGCAGTCTGATTGGTTTTCTTCAACATGTGTGATGTTTACTTTCCCCTAGTGGAAATGCGTGTGAGCACAGTGAACCCTGGGCGGGTGTGGACGATGTGAGGGGAGGTGACAGGCACGCACACGGCCCCAGCAGAGATCCCCACTGTCTGTCTCTCAATCCCACCACTGGGAGGGTGGGCTCTGCTTCACCAGGAAAGGGAAAGTGAGAACTCTGGGGAAACACACACACACACACACACACACACACACACACACACGAAATTCATTCCAACATTCTACTCTATGCAGGCATTTGGTAAAGACCACCTGTAGGTATTATAGTTCCTATGTAGGGTCTCACCTATTAAAATCATAACAAGCAATAAACAACCTTCACTTTGAAAGAGAATGTTTCGGGTTGCCACTGTTGTGTGGTATTATTAATACGTGACCTAATGTTACCGAATGCAAGTTCATGTGCTTGGCGCACAGTGAGGCCAAACAAACCAAAACATCAGAGTTTGGATCAGAGAAAAGTTCATTGCAGGGCTAAGCAAGAACGGGTAGCCTGTGCTCAAAAATACCCCAAACTCCCCAAAGGGTTTCAACAAAGCATTTTTAAAGGCCAGGTGAGAGAGGGACATGCCAGGGTCTGTGATGAGCTGTGTACAATTCTCTGATGGTGATCAATCCTTAGGGCTCACGATCATCAAGCATTAATTTCTTCCTTCTGGTAGTGGTACCAGCATCTGGAAAACTCAGGAAATATGCATCAGATACTATTATCTAGGTACTTCAGAGAGGAGCTATAGCAGAGAATATGGGGGAGGGGTCTGTCCTGGGAAGACCCCGTAGGGTCCTGCTCGGTTACACTGACAGAACATATTCTGAGTACTCCAGGGCACTTCCTCATGGCAAATCCTTTTAGACCCTGTGGAGGAAACACCTGGGTGACATGCAAGCTGCACATTGGGACACTGTGACATGGGCTACACCAGCTCCCTGCACCAAGGGGCTGGGCTCTTTAGGTTTTTGTCTTATGAGTCATTACTTCTGTCTCTAAACAGAGAAAAAGAGAAGGAAATGATTATAAGAATCCAAGGCAGTTGTATAGCATTTACTCTTCAGAACCCTGTCTTTGACTTTGCCAGCCATTGTGAGTTGCCTGCTTGCTCAGCCTGGGGATGTGAAGTGAGCTGGGTGTGCTCCTGCTTAGGACTCCTGTGGCTGCCTGTCCCCGGAGCAGCGATGTGCAGAGGTCGGAGGATCTCAGGACTAAGCAGTTTCTGAGCACAGCATGCCAGCAATAATGGCTGGTTACCCAGCATGTGTGGCTCATTGCATGTGACAGAAGATGCACCTCATCTGGTCAGATGGAAAGGGAAGGCAGGCCTCATGTCTGCAAGGCCAGAGAGAAGGTGGGCTCCAGGGCAATTGAACATGCAACTCAGACCTGGGCTTTCCCCTTTCTCCCTGCACTCAGCTTTCTGGGATCAGCTTGATCCCAAGGCTGGCTCTGTTCTTGGTAATGACATGTCTGGAACCATCCCAGGACATGTGCTCACATTATGCTCCAGAGGAGAGAGAGGGTGTCACTCTCCACATCCTGAGCAGTCTTGGTTTCCTTGACCTCATGCAGTTGCAGGACAGTCTTAAACCAATTACTGGAAAATTGTGAGAATGTCCTGACGGGCTCCAGGCTGGAGCTGAGAAAGGTCAGCTTCCCTCCAAGTAACTGGGCTGCATGAGTGGATACTCAGGAATATCTGGGTCCTGTTAGTGGGGCAAGAGAGAAGAAGGAGTGGAGGGGCTTCAGCAGCCAGCAATGCCCAGGACTGAAAGTGGTGCTGTCCTAGCCCACCCCCTCCCCCCATGCCTGAGATTACCTCATGTTTTCTTGGAGCAACACATATGAAAAGAATTTCCCTGGGAAGATACACAACTCTATCATTTCCTGAATTAAGGTAATGGTTGTTAGTACAAAGTACAAGAAGAACTAGACACCTATTTACCTGAGTATCTGAGAATTCAAAATGCCCCAGCTTCCAGATTTTCCTGCACTCATAATCTACCTTCTTTCCAAAGACATCTTTCTTCCATAGATACTTCCTCTTGGGAAATGGAATGATCCAGGAAGTGGCTTTGTGAATATGCCTACCAAGGCCATTTCAGAGAAAAAAGCATCATAAAGGGCATTGGCAGTTAGCTGCCCAAAGGATGAAGAATATTTATAGAAGCCTACAATAATATTATCACAAGCAGCTAAGTTTGATCTCAAATGAACATACTACAGAGATGAACTCCATGATTATCTCAAAAGAACCCTGGGAAGTACATGTCATGTCACTCAATCCTAATTACAAATCCAAAATAAAGAAGGCTGCCTCTGCTCTTGGTGACAAAATGGATGGACTAAGTATATAACATTATACAAAACCAATTTTAAGTTCTTGGAGGTCTGATCTGTGTCCTCTTCACCTTACACCCTTGGCAGTAGCATAGAACCTAGCTCTTAGAATGCGCTCAGGAAATGTGTGGTGACCCCAAGAACTAATGTTTATGCTGAAACACTAAAGGCATTCCTCTTAGAATCAGAGATAAAGGAAAGTTGCTTGTTATAACCCAGTATTATTTAATATTTTTTGGAACTTCTGGGTAATGCAATAAGACATGAACTATTTTTTTTTTTTTTTTTTCCAGTATGCGGGCCTCT